AAACAACTCTACTCACACACTACACAGGAGAGAACCAACAAACAACTCTACTCACACACTACACAGGAGAGAACCAACAAACAACTCTACTCACATGACACCGAGCCCGGAAATGTGTTTAGATAATACCTACTTTTGATAATGCCAGTAAGGAATGATGCTTTAATAATAAGAAATTGTCTGAATTGTCCCTACTTCTTTTAAATTAATTCAAAGAACAATTAAATCTTGGAGTAAACGTAAAAGCTAAAGTAAAAGAATACCAATATGCACGTGCACGCATAATTAAGAACGCCATTTTGAATTTTGAAATTAAATGGCTTTCGAATAGCTAAGAAATGATAAAATTTTTCTATTTCATAAACAAAACAAAAGCAAAAAACAAAAAACAAAAAAACAACACCGACATCTGTAGTAACTTTTCGCCAATTTTTACGGCAAAAAAGCTTATTTTATAAAAGCGCTACTCTGTAGTAAAAGGCACATGTAAGATATATATATATGTACAGGAAAAAGTGTATATTGAAACTCTTTTTCTGTCTATCTTGTACCATTTTTGATTTTCAATCCAGCTCACAGAATTGACAACAACGCAGTCGAACTTTCGGCCTTTTAATCAACTGACAAACGAACATTATTTAATAGAAACTCAACTCCAAAAGTAAACAAAGGATGACATAACATACTTGAAAATTTTAGAAAACAAACAAAGCATCGATAAAATTAATGGATTGTAAACTACAGTGAGATTTCGAACAATTTAGTGGAATTCTTGGCAACCTTTCATACGATTAGGCCCTTTTAATTTACGTTGCTTTTAAGATAAGTTTACAAAACCTTTAATTTGGAAGCATTCGCTATATTAGAATCTCGCCCTGGAGGGGTGGGGGTGATTTTGTTTAACGTGCGCATCCAATCTTGACGGGCCATGCCACAAAACTGTAAAAATTAAATTCCGTAAAATTGAGAAGCCAGTTTTATATTTAAAGTCGAGAAGAATCAAATTTATGGACTCTTATCGATAAAAATTCCATAGTGTACAATGCATGACTCGTGTTCCGTCAAGTTCCTTAAATTTGGATGCGCACGCAACCTTGAGAAAACGGTCTATATATAGACACACTGATACGAGGCTAACCCCATGTGATACGCTATAAAATCAAAGAACACAGCGGTTATTTGGAACTCCAGAAAGGTCTATTCTCATTCTACCTGTTTTTATTGAGTGAGAAAGTTAGCCAAACTTATTTCACTAAGGTAGTTTGACTGGGTATTTATCTTTTCTATAGGTTTATCAAGTATCCAATCAAAGGAGCTGGTCTGTGGGGAGTACATGGCGGTCTAGAGAAGTTACCAATGCTGGCGACTGTTCCATCAACGAAGATACCTGGAATCATAAAAGAAATTCATGATAGGTAATGTGTAGATATTATAGTATTTTTTGGGTGCATGTTACGTCATAATCGCCATGTTGGTCGACGATAACAGAGTATTTCTTATAGAGCGTTTTCACGTGACGTCACAGCGGCCATGTTGGTGTACGAAAAAATTTTTTTTCCATACTCGGGGAATTGAACTCCATTTTTATACAAAAAATGTGCAAAGAGTTTCTATTGTTTGGTACACCAATATGGCTGCCTTCTAACGTGAGTAAAACGATTATTCTATTAATTTAAAATTCTCTTATTAGACCAACTAACGTGGCGGCTGTTTCATTATTATTCATATCACAAGGGATTTTGAGTCATGTGGTTGAACCCCAAGAAAAATAGATCCCTCAAAGTACTTCGTAATGCAGCTCAAGGGGACCATAGGGTCACAGAGGAAACAACACGTGCGCGGTACTGATCTAATTCAGAGCACCGCTAACTCAGCACGGATAGATCAAATTCAAATTCTTCGAGTTTTTGGGACATATTTTTTTCCATATTTCGAAAACCAACTTTTTTTTTGTTGATTTTTCCCTTTTTTGTTTTTTAGTAAACATAAGCCTTGTGTTATAACATCGATAACAATACCTGGGGAAAAGGCAGAAGATGAAAAGTAAGTGTAGAGTACCGTCACGTGATCAAGAATGCGCAGTAAGTTAGTGCGCAGTAAGGTAGTGTACTATCATACGTACGTGGTTAAGAATGTGCAGTAAGCTAGTGAATTATCACGTGATCAAGAATGTGCAGTAAGGTAGCGCGCAGTAAGGTAGGGAACTATCACGTGATCAAGGATGCGCAGTAAGCTAGTGTACTGTCACGTGTTCAAGAAGGCGCAGTAAGGTAGTGCACTGTCACGTGATCACGAATGTGCGGTAAGCTAGTAGACTATCACGTGATCACGAATGCGCAGTAAGTTAGTGTAATGTCACATGATCACGAATGTGCGGTAAGCTAGTGGACTATCACGTGATCAAGAATGCGCAGTAAGCTAGTGAACTATCACGTGTTCAAGAATGCGCAGTAAGCTAGTGTTCTATCACGTGACCAAGAATGCGCAGTAAGCAAGTGCGCAGTCGGCTATTGCGCAGTAAGCTAGTATGCTATCACGTGTTCAAGAATGCGCAGTCAGCTAGTGTACTATCATGCACGTGTTCAAGATTCAAGAATGCGTAGTAAGCTAGTGTACTATTACGCGTAGTGATCAAGAATGCGCAGTAAGCTCGTGTATACTAATTTTCATGTATTCCATTTTTCAGAGATCTCTTACCTCTGATAAGAAGAAACATTGAGTAAGTATGGAAATAATGCATGTGCAACAATATTCCTACGTTAGCTAGTACAACGACTTTTTAGTATAAGATATTTATAGTAAATCCATGCTCAAACAAGTGATTCCTTATTATTTTATAACTACAGGAGCGCCAGATTGCCTGAGTGTCTTTATCCAAATCTCTACACCAGTCATATTTCCAAGTTTGAGGTTTTCCCTCGCTTTGATCCAGTGTACTCTCAATACGATGGTAAGATATAAAAAAGCCGCTTATTAGTCATCTGAAATGATTTTTCCTTGAACTCTAGTCAGCAATAGCTACTATTGGCGACGTTTTGTCAGTAAAGAGTTTTCTTCACTCCCTCGTTAACTTGTTGTGATAGTTCTGAACAAACACCACACGAAACAGCTGAAACGGTAGATACCAGCCCACGTGCTTTCGTTTGATTCATTGGAATGTTATTTAGTACATTAGCGAGTTAATATTGAGAGCAAAAACACTAGCCCACTTCCGAGATATGCTTCGCTTGTCACGCACACAAGTTTCAATGCGCGGCTAAGTACACAATGTTTACTGTTTCGTAGCAGGAGAAATGAATGGCCTCTTGGCCTCGTACTGAAACCTTTTCTTATGCACGCGCCGCAGAAGGGATCAGTGTGTGTAGACAGACACTCGGAGTCTTGGACAAGGGATTTATAAGCGCAAGAGGCCAGAAAGAGAAAAAGGACGATCCTGTATGAAATTCTATTTTGTTTTCCATTTCCTAGCCTTCCGCCTACCGCATTTTCTCAAGATTAGGGCTGTACACCGAATATTAACCTTTGCGCTTCCCGACAGAGCTCAGTATGTGACGTTCCATGAGTTATACCTAAAACGATAATTATTTTGCCTTTATTGCAGGTATAAGCCGACGAACCTTAAAACAGGTACGCAAATATTTTAGATTACACAATCACATCATCCTGCCAAACTTTCGAAATCAAATCCCCTGGGATGGGATTTAGTCTCTAAGCGATGCGCATTCATATAGGACAATGAAGTCGCTGTTTTTGGTACGCATTATTGTCATTAATATTCGAATCTATTCTACTGATGGAACTGACTCTGAACGAAGACGCAGCTAAAGGTACGTATATCGATGTCTTGGTAGACGTCCATGTAGGTGGCGTTGATTTCTTTGCTTTCGGACCTTATGAGATTCAGTAGGGCGAAGCCAGGAAGATGACCTTAGCACAATTTCAAAATGGTTTTCCATGCAATGTCATCCTTGGAGTTGTGTTCTTGTATTTGAATTTGTGTCTGTGTATTGCACCTCTGTGGGCCAACGTACCGTTTTCACTAGCAATTAAGGCAACGGCAAGAGCGAGGGCGCACGCATTAAAACCCGTTTCAAAAACGTGCTCGTATCATGGACCAGCAACGCCGTCCTTGCTCCCTGTTTACCGCGGTTGAAACCTGCACAGTGTGCTTGCGCGTGAAACTATTTACTGCCTTTGGGAAAATGAACTCTGTCAGGAGACGAGAGAAGTCAAACATTTTAAGTCTCCGTTCTAGACATCACGTTTTCTGATTGAATGCTAACTTCTTTTGATTCTCTCTGCTAGGAAATTGGTCCTGCGACACAAAATGCTCTTGATAAGCTCTCAGACGTTTTATATCGAAAAAGTCTTTACGAGACAGACTTCCAACCATTTGGTCCAGGAAAGGAATCTTCGTTGAATCTGCCAGGAATCGAAAATCAAGAGACAAGCAACCAGCGAAGACCAGGAGTTTCAACAAAGGTGTCGGAAGCGACCGGGTGTGAGAAGGAGTTACCAACAGACATTGCGGCAACTGGGGTGACAGAGAAGGACGAAGACGAGGAGGAGGAGGAAAAGGATTACAGCTCATGGAAAGAAAAAGTAAAGAAAGCAAAAGCGAAGTGGCTTTACGAAAAGAGGAATGCTTCAAACGTCCTTCCAACACGTTCACCTTACCAAAAACCACGGGGTAACAATACTGGATTTCTCACAAGTATCACTCTACCTCAGTGTTTGCAGGATTCTTCTCTGGGCTCCAGCACAAAAGCGGTGTCTTTTGAGAGTCTGGCGTGTTCGAAAGCTATCCAAAAAGTAGCAATGGCAAAGAAGCTTGGTGACGTTGGCTCTATTGTGAGGCTTCCGTCTGTCCCAGGTGGAATGCCAAAGGACATCAGATTGTCTTCACTTGGTGCTATGATATGCGATCTACCGCAGTACACAGACGAGAGTTTACATCAACAACGGAGGAAGAAACTGCCTTTGATGGTAGGGATGAGATTCAAGACTGATGCGCATGTCAAGTAAGTCTTCTATTTTTCTTTCTTTTTTCTTGTTGTCTGCCTGCCTGCCTGCCTGCCTGCTTGGCTGTTTGGCTGTTTGTCTGTCATTCTTGTACCTAGACTCTTCTCAGCGGGAAAAATCGAGTTTTCTTAAGAAAGTTGGGGGGTTTGGATACGAGGATGGTCTGTCTGTGAGTCTGTCTGTCTGTCTGCATGTCTCTATCTTTTCAGCTGTCTTTCTTTTGTTCTTGTAACCGATGGTAACACTTTTAAATAGCGACAAAAAGTACGTGGGCTCTTATTACTAAATCCACTAACATTGCGCATGCGCGTTCACCGTCTAGCAAATTTCTAATCCGGTCGACACTAAAATGGTCTCAAATGAAACCAAACATTTGCTCGTAACACTTCCGCCCCCGCTAATAACTAGTAAAGTCTAAAGGAAACGGAATAAAGTTATTTTGGCGCCATTATAACTTCAAATTATTCGTGGTTTTAGCTCTACATCCTATAAACTCCAAATCCGTTGTTTCTTTTTCACAGGTTTCACAAAGAACATCCCGAACCCATACCAGATCTTCGCGATTCAATTATCGACGGCAAAAAGCATGTCTTCTTTGGTGCGCATGCGACGTTGCTCCGATAAATTCCAACATGCATCACGTGATCAAACTTCCCAACCAATCCAATTGCAACACGTGAAAATATGAAAGAACGAAGCGGTTACCGACAAAAGGCATTGCAAATAAGCTCAGTAGATGAAGTCCTCAGCTCATAGCGTCATTAAAAACTTTTTTGAAAGTCCGTTTAGATTTTTTCAGCTTTATACAAATAATATTTTGAGTTAATGATATAATTTTCCTCCCTCTTTTATTGTTAGTTATAGCGCTATGAAATTTGTTTGTGTTCGGAAATCAGGTTTCAGAGTTTAACGATTGAAGACTTAAATTTATTCCCCTCTTTTAATTAAGATTTTTATAATTTAAGTTGTGTTTTGATTATTTTTCGTTCCGTCCTATTTGGCGAGAAGAAAAAAGCTGGAAAATAAACTGTAGAGGACTGATCTGTAGGTTAGTCCTCAACATGAAAAAATGAGTTGGGATTAATGTAGCTTGTTGAATTTTTTTGAGGGAAGGCTTGACACTTAAGAACACAGAGAAAAATATTTCACTCAAGAGAGAGCTAACTTTTGGATGCCGCCAAGTTTAACGATTGTAGAGATTTCTAAACCTGCGAATTGATGAAAAAAATTTTCCTATATTACTATGATCTAGAAAATTAACGAGAAAGTATAAACTTATTTTGGCAACTTATTGACGAACGAGAATTTGCAAAAATTTTGAATTCCCAAAAGTAGCTTTATCTCCCAAAAAAAAAGTGATATACCTACGAAATCCTCAGTTGCATGTAGTGTGACAAAAACTGCCGGAAAACATTTGTCCTAAAATTTCAACACAAACTGTAAGCTAGAATTGATTGACAAACGATGACGGTTCTTACGCGCGCGCGCCAGTATAATTGCTTTTTAAGACCGAAATTAAATCTCCTAAATGAGTTGTATGTGTTTTAGAAAGACAAGTTTAATGTTCTTGCTAAACTGTTTATTCTAGAGTGTTTGTTTAAGTACTCCAATTGTTTTAAAAATCCAATTTCAGAATTCGTATATTGCATTCCAACAAGAAAGGGCGTGTCGCTATGGAAACATTTGGCGTTGAGAAACGTCCAATATCGACGCTGCTAACAGAAATATGTATATATATATATATAACTTACGATTAGGCAAGCGAAAAGTTGGCGAAAATTTAAGCTTTTTCTCCGATCAACTAAAATTTTGTGGGTTTTTTTTAGTTTTCTGAATTGTAGCTGGGAGGACAATTAAAGGAAAAAAAGTTGTTAGTAACAGAGTAACGGTTACCCCATTCCCGATTAAACTTGTACTCGGACAAGACATGGTATAAAGGAAGACAATTGCGATAACAAAGTAACAAACGACTGGTGTGAAGTTAAAAAGATAAGGTTTAGCCATGAGCATAGCGTTTGTTAACTGGAATTTTTATCTAATTATATATTTTTTTAAGTTAAAAGTTTGGTCTCATGCTTGCATTATACGGCGTACGGGTTTGACTCTAATTAGTTTTCGATATTTTTAGTTATTGTTTCTTTTTTTTTTTGACTTTACCGTATTTTCAACAGTTATTTGTTTATTGTTTTGGTGTAGTCTGATCCCGATATTCAATGTCGGGGAACATTATATTCACCAGTATGATATTTGGGAACTTCTTCGTAGCAAAAGCGCTAGCTCTTAGCTAGGCAGTATCCCCAGATTTGCCGCATCTATGCATTCCACTGACCATGCAAAAGGGTTTTGGTCGTCTTGGCCGTTCGTAGTGGTTTTCACTGAAACGTTTTTAGCCGTCTTTTTCTCTATCGGAAACATCTCGATATTCCACTGGGATATTATCTTCTAAGATTACTACCAACATGATTTGTTAATGTAGCAGCTTATAATATAGAATTATTAATAGAATACAATCTAAGTAATATAATCAAATCATGCCTGAATGTCAGAGAGCAGTCCAAATCACCAGCGATACGAAACACCCACATTTTACTCTCCCTTTGTCAAACAAACAAAACCCGCCTTCGGCTTCTTCGCATCTTGTGAGGCTAAATTTTAAATGGAAAAAAAAAAAAAAAAAAAAATCTGTTGAAATATATATATCGTAAAATTATCGTAAGATATCAATCCTCTAGGACTAAATTGGGAAGGGATAATATATATTGTGCAGTGTAAGTTTTGAAGTACGCAGAAAAGTTAACACTTTAAGTTGTATGAACGTTCGGTCCTGCGTGTTGTTCCTTTGCTCCATACTCACAGCAGGCATCAACTATGAGGACTCTGTGTTTTGAAGTTGAAGATTTTCGTTAAACAAAGTGTTCAACCGACTAAAAATTTACAGTAATGAGGGAAATAATCATAGCAAGTTACTTTTTTAATGTCTATGATTGTGAAAGTCAACTCTAACAACTTAACCCCTTTCTATTCAGCTAGTAATCTAATCTCTTCGTTCATCTATCCCAAAAGTTTTTTTCTTCAAATTCATACAAAAAACAGCTGTGATTGTCCAAAGCTTTCCTGAAATGAATAGTGGTATCCATGACAACAGGATTGGTCGGTCAACTAGAAGTGTTCTCACTTCTACTGATCTACCAGATTGATCAACAACACACACACAAAAAAAATCGTTTTTCTAGCTTTTTTTAAATCGCACTTTTATATACTATAGATATCCTTTTCCTAATACTTTAGTTATTATGGCAAATCATTTTAACTCGTTTAAAGCTAGTTGTTTGAACTTTGGTATGAAGTTTTTTGTTTCTTTTGTTTAAGACAATAAAAATGACAAGGTTTGTAGTACGGTTTGAAGTCTTAATTTTTTCGATATTTTAATGATTATTTTAGACTGTTATTTTGTTATTTTAAACGTAGGTGTTTTAAATGACCATCAAAGGCATCGAAAAAAGCCCCAAAGATGACTTTAAGACTAATCATCCGTTGTCTTGGTGTTTTAGAGTCGTTAATACAAGCTATTATTACGAAATCTTAATGAATATATATTGGAAGAATTATACGACCACTTTCCTAATATATGAGGAAAAATATTTTTAACTAGGAAGTTAAGAATAATAATTGATCTTTTGTCACTAGCTGAAAGAAACTAAGTAAAAAAAAAATCCCTGATAGTGCTATCGTATTCTATGAATATTTTGTGGGGAAAAAAATAATAATAATAAAAATAAAAAAAGAAATAAAGAGATTTAAATTAAAGAAACTACAAAAATAATAAAAATAAAGTAAAGGGCATTTCTTTCGGATAGACTGACTTTTAATACGAGGAATCGAAAAATAAATCTTAGAAAAAATGAACGTTTGTTATATGCTTATTGAAATAACATTTTGTATGTCAATCGCTTAGAGACAGTTTTTTGAATCGCACTATGTTTTTTGGATGTTAAGATTTAAAATGATATTAACCAATCACAGAAATTTCTCCTACGACCTGATTACATGCATACCAGCCAAGCAAATTCATCACCTGTGGATACCAAAGCCATTGATAAAACTATGAATAGAAAAAAAACTGATACCAAACAACATTAAAGCTTACTTCAAATTAGCATAATTTATGACCAAATCTCCTTATATGGGAGATAATTATTCGTTCTTTTGTTCTCTGTCTGGGTATCTGGATGCTGATTGGGTAATAGACATAAGACATTTTTATTACCGGCGAATAAGTTTTTTCCCAGTAGTGAATAAAGCTCATGTCTACTCCAACATCTTCCCCTAAACATTGCATCCCTTAACCATCATTTTCCCTCAATTATTTCCCTCTTTAGACATGGATAATTCTTTAGATCTTAGTATAGTAAAGAAAGAGCCGGGTTTGTCGTCGATTTGTCCAACGGATTCAGGAATCTTTGATTCAATGATGCAAGACGGATTTCAAGACAATTTTCAATCAATGGTGAGTGGAATAATTTTAGTAAACACGGGGATTTTCATTTTTACACCTTAAGGGCTCCCCCTTGTTTCAAGCTATTCCTTATGGGGATAGACTTAGCTTTTATTTTGAGGAGAAAATATTGTTTTTCTGTCTATAGCATGATTGTAGTGAAGAGGTCCCTGTAGACTGGCTATCAAGCTTTTTCGACGAAGTCCCTTCATGTATGGAGCAAACTTTACCAAACTACACTCTTCCTGAATACACTTCCAGTGGAACACTCCAATATTCTGCAAAGAACCACTCTTTAGGTCTGAGTGGTTTAAGTATGGACCCAATGCCCGCATTACCAGAAGATTGTTCAAATGAATCTTTATATTGCCCAACCCCGACAGCAAGGTCTCGGTCGCCTGACTTCGACCACCACAATAGTAAATCTCTCATTATAGACGATACGAACGATGATCTTAAAACAAACTTATTCGGTAGAAACCCTTTATGTCCTCCGTTTAATACCACACAAGATCATTTTAATGGTCACCTCGAAGGATCAGAGATCGAACGTATAAACTCAATGAATGAGTCAAAAACTTCTCTCGGAATAAATTTGGCTGAAGCTGATGCAGACATCGGAGAAAACGAATCTGGTAAGTAAGAGAAAAATATATACAATAATTTTAGATTTGATAGAAGTCTTAGTAAACTAGTAAAATAGTGTTATTTATTGAATAGATTTTTGTCAACAATAACTTTCAACTTAACCATGAGGACATTAAATTTGTATAAGCTTGTATGAGGTACCAAACAAAACTTGTTTCAAAACTGGCTTTGTCTATTTCAGCTTTCTTTCTTTAATTTCCGTTAAAAACAACGAAGGAAATAGAATACTTCCGACCATTTAAAAAAACTTAAAACAACCTATCATAAAAACTTTAAATCCTAGGTTTTCTTGGCTTAAAAATGGGGAATTTGGATATCGTGCAAGGAAATGTAAAAAAATTGTTTGATATATTGCAGTAAGACAATAGGCAGTCGAAAATTTTTTGAGGTCACATTTCTGAAATATCGAATTTCTACTTAATCTGAACAAGGGGTTTCTTTATATTCGTTTAGTGTTACCTAAGGTATATCACTACTCTAAAATTTCAACACTTTTGATTGTAGTTTTTCCTTTTTCCCGCGTACGAAGTTCATTCATATACGCGTGATTAGCGTTCGAATATCATTATGAAACCAATAGAGTAATTTTCTTTTCTTTTTCACTGATTATTTACCCTAATTTGTTGAAAATCTTTAACTCCGAGACTAAATTACTTTCTTTGGAATGTGATACAATTTTCCCTTTAAATAAAAGTTAATTCCTGTAATATTTTTCGCAATTTCCGGTCATTTGTATTTTAAACCAGATTTATGAGTTACTATTTTCAACTAATCGTTGTACGCAAAGTAAATAAAGCTAGTTAAATAATTTTATAAACTAAGGAAATCCTTTAAATTTTATGTGGTTTTTGCAGAAAAGAAATATTCTTATTTAAAAGGGAATGTACGTTCATTTATTTATTTTTAATTACCTTAGTGAGAGTTTTTTTTCTAGTTTCTTCTCTTTCTTTTGTTAAAGATTGTCTATCGTTGCCATGACTTTATTTACCAAGCTTTTACGTATATTTTTACGTCCTTTCACCGTAAAACGACGTCAGTGTTTAAACTCCGTACTCTTGCTTGCACCCACTCCTATTTAGAACCCTAGAAACAAAAAACAAAAAGATTTTCCTAGCTGTGTTAAAAATAGTTCCTAAATGACGTGAATCAGGTGATGGGATGGAATTCCCTAGGGTTACAGAATTATTTAAAACAAAATTCGATTTTTTTTACTTTTTCTTTTTTATAACTAACACTATTTTTTAAATTTTTCTTTAAACAATCTAGTTTTTTTAATCCATTTTTAGGGGCATAAAATAAAATAAAATCACTTTTTTATTGTGGGATACAAATTCAGTAACCCTCGTGGCACAGGAGAGAACAAGGCATCAAACAAACTCAACTCACATATCGTGATCTAGGCCTGGCCATGGCTCAAACCTGGACCACAGCAGTGCTCACTCAAGATTTCCCTTGAGGGTGGTGCCCCATATCCTAAACAAATCATTCCTGTCTCCCCTCCCCTAGGGTACATGCATGTTACAAATCAATTGACAATGATGAGGGGGTCACAGTCACCCTTGCACCCCTCTTACTATGTCTCTGATACAGTTTCATATCAAGATATAATACGAGGGGTAAAATTAGATGTTTTTTTTCTGGTCCAGCATTCTAAAAATCATGCATTCTGATTGGCTGTTTGAGGAGGCGGTATTTTTTTCAGTGTCTGCCCACTATGCAGCATCCTGATGTCATCCACACTTGAAAGCATGAAATAACGAATTGCAAAAAAATTGGAAAAGAAAAGGGAAAAAAAATTTAGTTACTATATGTAAAAGTTACTATACGTATGGTCCTAAATTTGGTCCGGTTAGTAATAAATTGTGCCCTTAGTCTTGAAAACAAACCTTTGCCTCACAGCCTTGGTCTGTATATTTAAGGCCTTGGACACAGTTAATCCTTATCTGGACTAAGTCTGAGACTGTGAATAACAATATGTCTCATGTTTGAAAACTTGTGAACCAATAATAATGTACAAACATTTTTGAAATTCTCAAAATGTTTCGAATAGTTTTGTTTCAAATTTTACTCACTGGGGAGTGGAACGTGATTAATAATTGTGATTTGGCCAAAAGAGGAATTTTTTAAATAAAAGTTTTAGAAAGCAACAGGCTTCCTAAATCCAGGCTTTTCATGAAGTTGTAAAATTGTTGTAGTCATTAGATTGATCAACTTGCAGCTTAAGATGAGCAAATCTTCTGCCAAATTACTCATTATGGCAAATGATTAAAACATAACACAATAATTTTACCCGTGAACTTTGAATTTTATAATCTTTGAACCATGAATGGCAGTTGATTAGAACTTCTAATGGCTTGCCAAGATGCGTAACAATTCACTTAAGTTGTGCATTATTCTAAAATAAATTATGGATTAACTATTACTATGCAATATTGGTATTAATTTTCAAGGCTGTAGACTAACACTAGAATAAATCAACAATGTCATTAAACTGTCTAAAGAAGCCCAATAAAAATAAGGGATTTTTTTTAACTTAGTTTAAAAAGTGACAGTTTTATTGCTATGTATTTTTCATAGGTGATGGGTATTACTATACATCTCTTCCTATCCAGTCCGAATATGCCACGCTCAGACGTTGCACGCAATACAGTAAGCACCAACACCCTCACCTTCAAAGCACCTTTTTCGCTGTCTTTCCTATCGTGAATTCTTTTTCTCAGTGACTGTCACTTAAACGGCTAAAATTATAACTTAAAATCAACATAACAAGGCATAGAAAATGGTTTTAAAATGCTAAGATACAAACCCTTTTAGATTATTTAAGTTTGGTAATTTGTTGATAAATTTTGACTTTTAAGTGACAATCATCCAATCTGATATATCGAGAATAATGCTTATTAATTATTCTATTAATAACTTATAAACTTTTAAAGCATTTTACTTTTAATTCTTGAGAATGAACAAAAGTAAAAAAGCAAGGGAATTGTAAGATCTAGCTTTTTTTGACTTTAGTATGAAATTGTTGATGAAATTTTAAAATGTTCCAGTCATAAAAATATAGGTTTGAAGTCTATTTTTGTGATACAGTCCCTATTAAAATTTACTAACCTTATTCATTAAAAAAATTCTAAATGAAAGTGAAATATGAATGGTTGAAATATATTAAATTGAATTTCAAAATCATTGACAATCACTAGATGTTTACCATCATGTCATATTGCTTTAGTAGGTTATGACTTATTTAATGATCTCATTGCTTTATTAAAGCTCCAAGAAAGCAGAATAATTATGTATTTTTCTTATGTTTGAAGGTTACGATTCCAGTGCCCATTCACCAACAAGCACGACCCCCAGCACACCACCAAGAGAAGGTGAACTGAGCATAGGTGGATCAAGCCCAAGAGAAACCACACCACAATGTTTCAAGGTATCTTATTTTTAGATTTATAAATTAGAACTTCATAACCAGAATCCCAAGCAGGAATTACACAATGGTGATTGAGAGACAGGTTTCGAGAGATGCACCACATCATTATTGTATGTTATAATGTTTTGGAGTGTGCATGAAGCAGTGGTGCACTTGCTTCTCTCCTCATAGGCCTGTGGTTCACCCGAGCAATTATGCAAATGCAATCACAAGCAATGTACATGTGTGAATTCCAAATACAAGTAAATTAAGATGCGCAACATTAGCGGTTGTTTACATGTACATCAAAACATTTCTTGTATTGTTTTAAACTTTGTGTTACTGTATAGGTAACATGTAATTTTGCTTGCATAAATGCATTTGCACTTCTCATGTTAACCAGGATTTCGCATTGAGGGTCTTTGGTTTGATTCCTGGACTTGTGGACTTCTCGATTCCTGGATTCTTGGCAGAGCTTGTTAGATTTCTCCTTTTTTACAAGTATCTTTGTCTTTGTTCTATGATGTTATTTATATTCAATATTGTTTTGACCAGCCACAAGACAAGCAGCCATTTTTTCTGACAGAAGAAGAAAGAAGAACATTAGTCTCGGAAGGTTTACCAGTTCCAGCTGGTTTACCATTAACAAAGGTATAAATACGAGTGTATAATACTGTAATATACATCAATATAACACCAGAAACAGCAATGACCTTTATATTCCCAAGTGCTGCATTACTAAGGCCCAAAATTCTTTTTTTTATAGGGGGGTTTCTGTTTGGAATCCCCTCCCTAGTGAAATCACAAATTCTGCATCAGTGTCTGTTTTCAAAAGAAAAATTGAAGTCTCACTATCTTGAATATTGGTTACACTCCTAGTCCTTAGTCCTTAGTCTTTGATTAGATTTCTCACTTGCATATAAAATATATCTTATTACATTTATATATTTTTCTTTATTCATGTATTTTTGTAATTAATCATAATGTAAATTAGGTATGAAGATCCCATATTGGGAACCTAATAAAGCTTATTGTATTGTACCAGCTTAAGTTGGTCTTTACCAGTGATACTTTCTGTTAGGAGTTTCTGTTTTTATTTCCTTTCTAATTTTAAGATTTTGTATGTCATAGGTCGAGGAAAGAGCTCTCAAGAAAGTTAGAAGAAAAATAAAAAATAAGGTTAGTGAATATGTAGTTAATGTCAAAATGATGATGATCCTCTGATGATGACCTTTCTGTTTAGGTACAGGGTGTATATCTACCCACTGGTTGATTGACAGATAGATGAATTGATTGATTGGTTGCAAGGCTGATTGGTTAATGATTTCTTAATGATTAAGGAGAAAATCCAGAAATAAGAGAAAAGGGGGCCAGAAAACTTTGGCATTAGAGGAACCTCTAGCATTAGAACAACCTCTATGATTAACCAAGATATAGGGGAACTAATTGATTGGAATCATTGTCCTACCATTTATAATACTTCCAACTTTTCTTGTTCAATTTTAGATATCTGCACAAGAAAGCAGGCGCAAGAAGAAAGAGTACATGGAAACATTAGAAAAGAGGCAAGTAATATTTTTCTACAATTTACTGCCATTTTCATATACCTGCAAACTCAGTAGCTGCAAGTTGCTTGCTGAAATTTGGATTTTTTGCGACAGAGTTTGCATGTTTATGGAAATGACAATTTAAGAATGTGCAGACTTAGTATGACACATCTTCACTTAGTTACGTAACAAAATTTGTTATAATATAACAAACAAAACATATGGTGCGCAATGATACATCTATAATACAGATATGAGTTAAATAGACATTGTTTTGACCAGTTGTACTTTATTTTACTTTCAGAATTGAAACATGTTCAAATGAAAATATGGATTTACGGAAGAAATTGGATGGTTTAGAAAACACAAACAGGTAAATTAATTTTTTTATCAATAAGCTACAGATAGTGCAATCAGAATGATGGGAAATAGTGCAGGAAGAAATCCCAATAGACCTTATCCACTGTTTTTACATTTCAGACCATGTGTCATTCCCTAGACTATTATTTCTTTGTTTATAACGGTTGCACATGAGTTACAACTCAAACAAAGAACCCAATTCTCAAGAGAGTGACACATGGCCTGAGATGGGCAAAACATCATGCATAAGTAGATTAAGTCTATTGGCCATTACAAGGTTGATAAAAAAAACTCGGTTGAGTTTGTATCGCAGTGCATTGTGGCACTGTTTAAAGGGGATAAAATAGACAGCATCTTGGAAATATGAAAGACTACGGAATAAAAATTCATATACACTATATTTATTGACTGGACATTGAGTTCATAACTATTGTTGTCTTTCCTGTACAGATCATTACTAAGCCAACTTCAGAAACTACAGTCAATGATTAACAACACAAAAACGCATTGTCCTGTGAGTGCATGCTCGACGCAAACAAGTACATGCCTAATGGTGAGTTACTTTAATCAATTTACACTGAACAGTTAGTTTCAGTGTTCACACTGATGTCACCCATTGATGTAAATGTGATATGCTATTGCATAAAACAAGGAATTTTTATTTTACTTTAATTTGAATGAAAGAGGATTCCTGATGTTTGTAAACCATGAATATATTGCATGCTATTAGGGAAGTTTTCTTTTTTCTATAACTTTAATATAATACAAAATTCAAATTGTCAAATTCTAGGCATCATGATTTTTTGGGCATTTGTAAAAAAAATTATTATCCTTAATTTTATTATAATTTTTTTTAGTTAGAAATTTGTTGGACAGAATTATAAGCCAATAAAACACAAAGAAATATACTGTGTCTGGGGTTTTTTTTACTTCAGAGGAGCATGAAAAATGTGCTATCTAGTGTAAACTTCTCGTCTTTTTCCTATATTACCAAACTTGCAGTGGGCAAAAGTTATTATAGTCTTAGTCTAAGCATTTGAGAAGAGAACTGTCAATATAAGTTTCTCATGCCTTGCAGCATTCATTGTGCAATGTCTTATCCCTGCACAAAAGACTCACCAGACTTTTTATGCTCCAAAAATTACATGTACCTATTAATAAATGTTATTCTAAATTCTGTGTTGAAATTTGTTTTTCTTTGTCTTGTAAGGTTGTTGTACTGTGTTTTGCTGTCTTTATTGGTAGCTGGAGTCCACTAACAAAAAATGGACTGTCTTTTCCTTCTCATCATGTGTCTGATCACACAGCTCCTAAACAGCCAATGGACTACACCACTCCCTCAGGTGAGGGGCAGTTATGTCACGAAAAGCTGCAATAGTCCTCCCCTTTTCCCATTTCTTTCCCAGATATTTTCGATAGTCCCTTTTCTCATGTGGTAGATGCTGCTGTGTTTTATGACCAAAGACTCATTTGTACAGGTTTAGGCTTGTTTAAGAGCAAATCAGATGCAAACGTGAACCAGATGTAATGTAAAGAATGTGCAAGTTAAATAATACCATTTAAAAAAATTTCATGGACTTTAAATGGTATTTGTGAAATGGTATTTATAAAAAGGTGACTAAATCTGCAGAAATAAGTCTGTGGTCTTCAAAAACAGTGGTATGCATCGAATATTGAACTGGTGTATTTGAAGAAAAAGATAGCTTTAAATATGGCTTTCTGGAAGTGTTTGAAGCTGATAACCAAATTTGCGAACAAATTTTAACATCTCATAAGGATACCAGGTCATACACAAACTTACATACTGCTTTTGATAAGATATGGATTTTTAAAGAGATCTATTGTTCTTTCCTGGACTCCAGAGGTTCTATTTATTCACTGTCAGAGTAAATGACCTCTAGACTCAAGGATAAATTTAAAAAAAGGTGATAACTGTTACCTGCCAAATGTACATTTTAGTATGCATTCTCTTAAATTTCACCAAAAATTCATATCTGCTAGTTTGAGTTACTCTAGCAGTCACTTGAAAATTTTATTTGTTAAGTATTACTTGAGCCATTAATCATGGAAATAAAGAATAATTCTGTTGCTTTGCAGTCCGCTCGAGAGTGTTGCTGTCGGTAGATGATAATGAAAGTGAAGAGTTGGAATTTGCACCGACACCGAGCATCATGGATGCAATGGCAGCATACCTATCTCCAGCGCCAACGATAACAGCTGCTGTCGACAATGATACCAACAAGTATGTCGCTATGGAAACATCATCAGCCAAAGCAAATCCAAAGGGACATCTGGGAGCATCAGCTGCTTGACATATTTAAGAAGCAGTTGACCTTATGGTTGGTAGTCATAGCAACATAATGATGAGGCTCTTCAATGAGAACCTTTAAATTTTAGAAAATGATGGCAATGTGACTGAAAAATGAAAATTTTAAACCAGAAGACTGTGAGCAGTCCAACTTTTGTCTTCATGCAGACTTAAAAAGACTAGTCTTAGGATAACAAGTTTTAGCATTCCTGTGCATGCACAGAAATTGGAGCAGGAAGAGGCTCTAATCTCTGCACATCCATAAGGATCTTAAAGCTCAATGTTCTAAAAACTTATTCTAACATCTTTACTGAGTCTGGAGAAAAAGTAGGATTATTCTCAGTCCGGTCAGTCAGTCTATCTGTAAATAGAAATTGTGAGGATTTTCAAAAATCATTCAGCTATCTTTTTCCTTGTCTCACAAAAACAAAACAAAAAAATACTTTTTCAAATAACTGTAGACTGGGAAGATGAATAGGTAACTTAAATAGTRAATAGAATTAAAAAAGCTAAACAACAATAAGGCTTAATTATAAGTCTACCAGAAAACTTCATAATTTTATTCTTGCAAAATGGAATATATTTTAAACTTTCTGAGAACGATTTTTGGGGAATAATTTTACCTCAGTCTGACCAAAACAATTTTAAACTGAATAAATTTGCGAGCCATATTTTAAAATGGTGCAAAAAATTTGTATACGGGTGAAAATGAAATACAATTTAATAGTCAAAATCTTTAGAAATTTCATTAACAAGTTTGTTAATTAATTATTAATTAATTGGCCGATATTAAATGTAGTAATCAATTAATTTATAACAAAACAATTGGGGAATAAATTGCTCTTTAGTCGTACTAAGCGGCAGCGAAAGGAATTTAGCATTAATAATCAAAATATAGTGAATTTAGCACGGTGTATTTAAAATATAGTTCAGTAAAAGTAAGTATGGTAAGTTATGTATTGCAAAGCAGAAAACGTTTCGGTGATTTCATTTTATAACAATATATGTTCCTTTTTATAATGGTGTCATTAACTACGGCTACCAGAATCCCTTGCACACTTTCTTTTGTTCAATTAATTAGTACCAACGTATTTTGGTAGTCGTAGTACAATGATACCATTATGCAAACGTCTTATTACAATACATTATGAAATCATGACTGTAATAGAAATCACCTTATGTTTCGCTGCCTCTTATCATCTCTATTGATGTTTCGGTAAGAATATTTTCTATATTCATCTAGGCAATGTGCAAGAACGAATCTCTAGCACAAAGCATGATGGGAAACTGAGTACTACACAAAACAGAATAAGAAAATCAATAGATTTATCAGGAAAAAATACTGTTATTTTCCTCTGTTGAAATACTTACAGTTTCTTAGAAAATGTCGAAGGAAAAATTGTCAGAGGGATTTTTAGAGGAGCTCGGAAAAACCGTAAGTACTCGGTTTACCATCATGCTTTGTGCTAGAGATTCGTGCTCGTGCACGTGGGGAAAGAATCATACTCAAAAGATATAGTAATAGTACAGTTACACTTATCTTTTCTCTTTGAAGTCCACTTGGAAATTTTTAACCTATTTGTACATTGGACTTTCAATTCAAGAAAGATATAGACGCTTTGACTCTGAGCGTATTTTTTTGTCCATCTTCGAAGTAATAAATAATAGGATGCTCAACGGAATTTGCGAAACATTTCGGTAGTGGTAGTCCAACGCCTTATTGGAATGACATTGTGTTTTTAATTGCATTGATATAGTAATGAAATAATACCGTCAAGAGAATAAGCTGATTTATTTACACTTAAAGTCAAAGTGTCAAAGTAAGACTGTTAAAAATATGTTACAGTTAACACACTGAGTATATCAAATAGTATATTTTTGTCAGAAAATCTTTGTATTAAGCTTTGTTTCATTTCTGGGAAACATCTCGTTTTCAAATTGGAAATTTGAGAAGGTATGTAATATAAAAAATACTTGTATAATTAACGGTGGTGCTTCGTCAGACGTTAGCACTAAACATGAAACTAATAAATATGAAATAAAATCATAACATCACATTCAAAATTATATCGCTACGTTATTAATGTAAATAGAGGGATTGTTAAAGCCTAAAATATCTTCAATAAAAAATGTTGAAAACTTATTGTCCTTGTTGATTTGGCGTTCAAGGTTCAATTACATTTTAGACGTGTTTGGTGGATACTCTGAACCAAAAGGCTTAACTCTTCATTCTTTCTGCCTTTCTCATTCACTCTTCTCATTTTCATTCATTCTTTCTTTCCTCGTCCAATTTTCTCTCTTTTTTTCTTCAAAGCTACTGCAAGCCGGGTCTGAACTGATAGCGCAAGCTTAATTATTGAGGGGAAAACGAGATTGCTTATATGAGGGGAATTCTATATTAGACAAGCTATTAGTTTTAAACTAATAGCTTGTCTTTGCCTGCAGTACGACCTTCAATTCTGCGATAGGTAGTTCTTTTGCTGCAACAGAACTCCTGATTTTAAAAAATTAGAATAAATGGTGAAAACTATTTTCGAAATACTATAAAAAAACAAGAACACGAATTTCCTCACTACTTCCCCCATGGGACAATTACTGCATACCAGCGTGACGTAGGCAAGGGCAAAGTCACTTCCGCGAAATTACGCATAAATTAAAACTAACTTCTTGGAATCGAAAGTCGGAAAATAATTCATCAGCGAAAACCTTTTCTTTGTATACTGTTGTGTTTTATGACCTCCTTGCTTCTAAGATAACATCCCGACGAAAAAGAAACTAATTAAAAATTGATTTAAGGTAGGTTTATATAATAAGACCCTAAACTTATGAGGAATTTGAACTGCAAGTAAATCTTGGTTGACTGATTTTGGGGTTGGAATTATTCTCAGTAATCCAGAATCTTTAAGATATACTGCTTTGTTTTGAACTACAAAGCAAGCCAAGTGATATTTATTTACATAATTGAAATATTTGGCTGTCCAATCGAAGCATTACGCCAGATTGTAAGCTTTAAATGATAGTCTTGGCAAGATATACAACTGATTCGCTATCACAGTGAAAATTTGCAAGAACGGTTGCGTTTCTTTTTTGAGAGAAAGCTCTATTGTTTCAAATTATACACGACCAGGATGTATTATCCTAATATTATCTAGGCTGTATATACAGAATTATTTACCATATGGCATTAAAAATCAAAATTTGAAAATTTTGGATACTAAATATATTGTTCAATAATTTCAGCAATGCTGTGTGAAGGTTGCAGTCAACATAAACTTCGTAAAGAATTTCCGCACGAAAATGTTTGCAGCAACAAGCATGCACAGCTCTACTGCTTGAGGGTGAGTGTGAAAAGATAAATAATAATGATAAAAAAATAAGAACAAGAATAATTGACAAAGTGATCAGACTAAGATGTGCCCAAAGGAAGCCCAGTTCCAGAAGTTGACCACAATCTGTTGTACTACAGGAAACCCACTCATCAAGTTTGGGAATCACTATTTGTAAATAGGCAGCATATATGCATTCAGTCCAAATAGCCCATTTTCTCTAACAGTTCAGGTGACTCTACTCATAGTAACACATTTATGTACATAAAAATTGAAAACTAGTAATGCAAGTATTGTCTTGATTATTAAGAGGGCAAAGTATCAGCTCATGTTTTTAAAATATGGGAGAAATGGCATTAAACACAAATTTCAGTATTTCCTTACAATTATTTGGATGTTAAGATCTGTCAGATGTTAGGAGCTTTTTATCTAGTGCATGCATGACATTTTAATTTAAGAAGGTAACTGTGTAGTTCCAGAAAAATATATCTGTACCACACCCAAAGAGGAAATTGGAAATTCTGGAGGGGAGGGGGTCAGAGAAAGAACAAAATTACAGAGTTCTTTTGGAAGAAAATTGGAAGTTCATGAGGGTAGGGGGGTCTTTTTACAAATTCCCTCCATGTTGGGGGTATGGATGTCTTTGGGAACTTCAAATTATGAATATAAGTAATTGTTATTTCTTTTTAGTGTGTTGCAAAGTCCATTGAGCAGCGCAAACAGTGTCCAGCGTGCAATGCTGATGTACCCAAGCACAGCAGGCAATATAGTTCCTGTATTCAGAAACTGAATTGGCTCTTCCCGCCTTTTGAAGATGATCAGGCAGCATCGGCAAATGAATCAGTGGATTCTCTAGGCTACAGGTCTTTGATAAGAAACATTACCGTCAATGTGGTGATGCTGAATGGAGACAAAAAAACCATAGTAGTCAGCCGTTCTACAACCATAATGGACCTGAAAAAGAATGTCTCTGTGCACTTTGGGATTGATTCCAAGAAGCAGCGCCTGATTTACAATGACAAATCCCTGGAGGTAAGACAAAGTGATTGTTATGTAGCAATATTGTTAACTGTATCATGGTGTTAAAGCATTCAAATGCAAATAATGATGATAAAATAAATAACGGGTAGGCATTAATTGGGGGAATACTGGACTAAAGGTTACAGTCAACATAAACTTCACGAAGAATTTGCAAAGACCTGTCTTGCTGATCGGTAGGGTACTACTTGTATCCAGCTAGAAGACGTAGAAATGTTAATAAATGTTTATTACTATGTTATTATTAATCACAACATCATCGTCATTATTATTATTATTATCATTATGATTATTATCATAATAGATATTGAAACTTTCTTTTGAATAGTAAACCGCTTGTCTTTGTGTAAAAATGAAAAGTGCATTGTGCTATGCTGGAATGATGTTGCAATATTATAGTTATGGTAATTAATGAATTCGGTCCACCTGCAAAACAGCAATATGCCAACATGCTTGCTAAAGTGAATGACAAAAAAGGAATGATTAGAACTTGTCAAACCAATATACATTAGAATGTCCTATGGCTAGGAAAGAATGATGCTAATGACTTACAGTAACAGATCAAGTACACTTGACTATGTACCTATTCTAATTTGATCCTAGGAGATCCTAGTTGCATTTACTGATGCAAATAAATTAATACACTCTTAATCCTACCCCTTGTGTGCTTGGGAAGTATTCAAATATGGGTGTCATAGTGGTGAGAATACTTACCTCTAACCACTTCTTCCCAGCCTGTTTGATCCATTTGTTTTGTGTCATAGCTAAGTAGAGTTGTTTGTTTATTCTCTCCTTTGCTTAGAGGTTTTCCTCCCTCTGCAAAAATGAATATTCCTAAATTTCATTTTGATCTTAGTTGAAATTCTTATATCTAYTCTCTATTTTCTGGAGGAGGGCCCCAAATTCAAAAATCTGCCTTTTTTTTTTGAGCCACCAAGACGCAGAACAAAAACAAAACATTAAAAAAATGACATTACTTTTTACTTTTTTTCATTACAAATTCTTTTTTTCTTTACAAATTCTGGCCCCCTTGACCACGCCCCTCAACAAAAGGGCTGAATATTAATATCATAATTATTTTTTAGAGTTATAAATCCAATCAGCTGATGAAGGTCAGTGATTACAACATCGCTGATAACAGTACAATCACTCTGATCAAGGTCCTCAAGACCATCTCAGATTCACTAAAACATGTCACTTTTGATTTCCATTGGAATTATGTGGGCTATCGTCGAGACTATCTCAATGTATCGGCTATATTATATAGTGGTACCAGCCGTGTTGACGTTGTTGACTTCAAGAGAACAGTATTTCCTAGTGGGCTTTATGGTTATGGTACAGGTTATGGTGCTGTAACTCATTCTGGTCATGGATTTAAAAATAACTGGCGTGGTAGCAGGGGGAACCACAAGATCGAAGTGAACTTCGATTTGCTTAGTGCAACTTCCGTTGACAAAGTGTTTTTCACTTTGAGTGCTCTCAATGCTGGAAGCATCGAAGAATTCCGGAATTTAACCCTTGATTTCCACGACTCTCGCAACCCAAGTGAGCAGCTTGACGAGATAAGGCGTGCAGTGAAACATCACAAAGCAATTGTCTTCTGTTGCCTGTGCCGTATTGATGGGAGTTGGCAGGTATTTGGCCTGCAAGAGCCTTCTTATGGGAATGTTCGTGATTACTACCCGCTGTATTCTACTATACAGACAATAATACTAAAAGGGTTTTCATAAACCCGGTGAACTTCACCCATTTTTGTGTTCAAATAAAAAAGGTAATGTCGAATAGTTTGCTTCTCCGCCAGATCAGCTAATTAGAAGCACAGTGTGACTTTTTCACCTTGCTTTGCTTGCGTTTCGGTTTTGTTACTTTTCCATGTCACTGAATAAGTTAGGGACTCTTTTTAGTCATGGCTACGGCATCCAATTACCATGCAATGTTATGCCGATAGAACTAATTTGAAGATATCAATGAAAACAAAATAGAATTATGCTATAGCAGGTAATGACTAGATCTAGTGAATAATTTCATGCATAGTGGCAGGTAGCCTCATTCAATAAATGTGGACAAACAGCTCGTTAACGGTGTCAAGTCTTGTTCTGGAATCTATACTTTGTTTACTAGCACCTTGACCGAAACATTCACGCTTTGCGTTCAATTATGAACACAATAATTAATTTAGCACCAATGCGTGGAGATAGTCGTTGTTTATGTGATACTTTTGAAGTCGCGTTTTTGTTTTGATTCTACGCATGCGCAGTGATGTGTTTCAAAAGCCCAAAACTTCGAGAAAAATACACTGTTTAAGGAATATAAAGCGCGCGAGCATGTCTCTGTATTGTAATCAAACACGCTGGGAGCTGTATAGCACGAGAGAAGCAAGCTTAGGAACACGAGGCGTAGCCTAGTGTTTCTCTTGCTTATCGAGTGCTCTACAGCTCTCAGAGTGTTTATATCACAATACAGAGACAAAAGCAGCCGTTTTATATTGTTTTAAAAAGGTATTTTATTTTTGAACGTCTTTGCGCGAGCGTGTCTCTGTCTGATATAAACACGGTAGCCAACCAATCAGCGTGCGCGTTATATCTCAAATATTCTATAATCATAAATAAAATACTTCGAATTCCGCCCTAGATAAAGACATCAGCTATTATGGTTGGATACATATAACATAGATATATAAAGTAAGTAACCTACACAATAACAAAAGCTTTGTACGACATTAGGTGCTTTTTTATCATCATTGATATTGCATTCACTTTTCTGATTGACCGTTGCCCAACGGGATCTCACTGTGTTTGTTGAGCTCTATGTATTTGCGTGTGACCGTAATTTTAAATGGGAATGGAAACTGCGTAGCAACTTTCGGCGCCAGCGAGGAGTGACTGAATGAGATATGTAGTCAGGCTTCTTCGAGGAACGAATAATATTGTTCGTAACCGGTTTAAAACTCTCAGTAGAACGTGGTATTAGCAGCGAAGCGAGACACGTCTCTAGGCAATGAAATGATCGTGAGTGCCAAGATCTTAGCAGGTTGTCATAATAGGCAGGTGTTGGAAATTGTTTACCAAGCGATTTGCTTATTTGTATCATATTGTTGGCTGGTGACAATGATCTTTCCATTCAAAATATGTTATGGTATTTTACTTTAAAGTGATTTGTTTTTAGGAGATCTGATTTAGATTTGTCAAGGTGTGAGGTTGGGCACACCTTACACCAAGACCTGTTTCTATTCCGTATTGTTTACATGCACTACTTCGAGATTTCGCCACTTGCCTTTATCTCCAGGATGATATATTAAGGCCGGTTTAGACGGTACGATTTTCGCCTACAACTATCGTATACAACACACTCGCGTCTGTCGTAGGCGAGTTGTAGGCTTGATTTACACG